AAAAAAAAAAAAACAGAGACCAGGCCAGCCAGTGGTGTGGTGGTTAAGGTGGCTGGCTCCTACATAGCAAACTGCACAGTTTGAGACCAAATCAGGCAGCTTGAAAAATTGTGCCATGCATGTGTGTGTTCATGCCTGAAATCCCGAGAGAAAATGGATTCACCATCTCTATATCTTTGGGGTATCTTTTTGCTACCACTACCCCTGCAGAATGCAGTACAATTTTGGCCTGAGAACAGAGTAGGTTCAGCAACTTCCCCATTAAAATATAACTTGCAGGACAATGAAGATTGTGGATTGTGCGATTTGTATCAACCACCAAATCAATTCATTCCAATTTCACATTTAGCAAATAGTGTACTAATCACTGGAGAGCTGCTATTGGGAAGCTACTATGCATCAGCTCTAGACCAGGACTCTGTGTACTACCTAACTCCCACATGCCTCCACTCAATAAAGGACAATGATGACCCTTCAGGATCTGAGTGTCATGATCAACTCTCCAAAACAGTCCTTAAATTGATATGATAGTCCCTTGTTTCCTGGCATTTGACTAGGCAAGTGGTCACAGGTACCTCTGGTCAGGGTACTTGAAGAATAATTTCTTGTTTATGTATATTTACTGAACTGTTCCACAGTCCTTGCTTCTACCATTTTTATTAAAGCAGCCATGGAAATGCTATGACCCTCTACCCACTCTCAAAAGAATAGAGTTAGGAGTTACCTAACTAAGGTACACATAATAGATACATCTAATTATCTTCTTTATCCTTTAGACTTTTTTCTTTACAGTATGTCAGAGAAATTTCAGAATATTAACTTCCCTGATAATATCAGGTGCCTAGAACAAAATACCTAGGTGTACATACAGAGTACATACTCATAAGTTGATTGACTCCACAAATGTTTGGCTTTTATGGTGTTGGAGTCACCAAAGAGGAACCCACAATAGAGATTGCTTTTAAGTAAATGCTTATGCTGGTTGGCTTTCATGCATTGCAGCGCAGGTGTTAAAAGAAGATACTAGATCCATACTGCCAGACTTTGAGTCCAGGCTTACCAATTAAAAGACTTAGAGGATAATTAGCATCTCTGTGCCTCAGACACCTCCTCTCTAAAATGGGAATAATGAGAGAAAACACTTCATAACATCCAATATGTGTTCTTAGAACAATACTTGAACCATAAGTAGCAGTATGTGAGTCACTGCAATTATTCTCTAGCTTAGGAGAGACAATCATAACTTCATCACCTCACCATGGAAAGTTAATCAAAATGTCTTTCTTTAGTAATTACATTTGATAACGAGCTATACAACTTTGTAAAAAGAAGTTTTACACATGTATTACAAAGATTCCATTTTTTCCTATTAGTTTAAATATTTGAAATTTGTTTTTCTGAAAAAGAGGCAAAATGGGGATCAGTAGATGGTATAATGGTTATGTCACTGGACTCCCATGTAGTCAACTATGGTTAGATTCCTGGACCTGGTGGCTTGAAACTCAGACTGGGTACATGTGTGTGCTTGCCCAAAATTCTGAGAGGAGAATGGAGGAGAAGGGATTGCAGTGTGACCATCCTCCTTAGGGATGACTTCTCACTTTCTGTCTCTCTGTTTCTCTCTGTCTCTCCAAGGAGTGCAAAAATCTATTTAAAAAAAAAAGGCATAATGATCTTAAGCAGAGTACACAATTCATTTATCACATTTGCTTTCCCCAACCCTACCAGAACAAAATGAAGCCTCATCAACTCTTAGGTATTTGGGAGGCCTTCAACCTATAAAACAGAATTTAATCAAAGTTCTCTATCAACAAAAGAATATTGTTTAATAATGAAGAATAAACTTTTTTTTCATAATTAAAACAGTAGTTTACAATTCAGCTTTGGTAGAACCTGAACAAGAAATGAATAGCAGAAGTCTAAATTAGGGAAGGATTTAGAATGGTAAAGAAGTAGTAAATGTTAATATTGATTTAGTGGGAGGGAAAGACACAAATGAGAAGCATAAAGCTCTTGAAAAAAAAATTTCAAAATTAGGCCTATGGGAATAGCTGGAAGCGTGGAATAGGAATAGACACTTTAACACAAATTGATGTGAAAATGGAAGAGTACTTATACAGCAATGAAGATTATATTGTATCATGTTTCTGGTGATCTCAAGCTATGTGTTCTAGGATATATGGCAATCATTCCTCAGTTCTTGGATTTTAGCTTGACAATTTTGAGATAATTTGAATAAATGTTGTTAATTCATTCTAATTTTAAATTCTATTATTCTATGTTAGGAAGAATACGTTCACACATGTAGAGACTGGGGCAGTGGAATGCAAGCAATTTAAGAACAGAAAGAATTAAAATCTGAATAAGTAGTAAATATGCCAAGGATCATATGAATAGATAGTTTAATTATCAATAAAATAATCTGTATAAGAGAGAAAGAAAAAATATTATTTGCTTAATTACATGGCACTGCCCTAGATCATAAACTTTTCTTCAAAGTGGTAGGTTATAAAAGACATATAATTGTATTTCTTTCCCCAGTGAGCATGTACACTTGCCAGAGAGAGAGAGAGAAAAAAAGAGAAAGCAAGAAAGCACCTCCTGTGGGGAATGCTTAAACTGCACTCCTTTGTCCTCCATTTTTCCTTCTTTTCAGGATTTTGAACACAAATGAACATGCCATTGGCATGTTTTTCAAGCCACCATGTTCAGGACTCAAATACCTGGTCAGCCCTATGGGATCCAGCCACCTTAAACACCATGACACAGTCTGTCCCATGATGGATGTTTATCACTTTGATGTACAGCGTGTCAAAGAATATCATTACTTGGAATTTAATGGTAAAATAGATACCATAATTTAACAGATTATATATTTGTAGGCAAATACCATGACCTCAGTATTGGATATTTCTCTAAATGCATTATGTGTTTTCTTGCAACCACATGAGAGAGTATCTCTAGTTCAAAGTCTTCATAGCTAATCCATTTATGAAATCTTCCTGTAATGCACAAGACGGCTGCACTGTCTCCTCATTGCTACCTTCATGTCTTTGTTTCTGAATGTATAGATGACTGGATTTAGAAAAGGAGTGATAAATGCATCAAAAATAGCAAGATATTTATCTAGGTTTGATGTGGGAGAAGGCCATGTATAGAAAAACATCAGTGGCCCAAAGAATAAAACCACCACTGTAATGTGAGCTGACAGAGTAGAAAGAGCCTTGGATGAAGCACCAGAAGAGTGATAACAAACTGTGAACAAGATGAAGATGTAAGACATGACCAGCAAGACAAAGGAGCCCACAGAAATTAGTCCACTATTGACAGTGACCATGAAGTCTAGTTTTTGGGTGTTTGTGCAGGCAAGTCTGAGGAGCCGGGGAAGGTCACAATAGAAACTATTAAATATATTAGGGCCACAGAAAGGTAAATCTACCACAAAAACTAATTGGACCAATGAATGGATAAAGCCAATGATCCAAGAAGTAACTAAAAAGTACAAACACATTCTTTGGTTCATGATAGTCAGGTAGTGGAGGGGCTTACATATGGCCACATATCTGTCAAAAGCCATGGCTATGAGCAGCACCATCTCAGTGCCCCCAACAGCATGGCTAAAGAAGATCTGAGTCATACATCCCCGAAAGGAGATAGTTTTATGCCTCTTGAAAATATCATAAATCATCTTAGGGGCTGTGATGGAGCAAAATACCATATCAACAACTGAGAGGTTAGCCAGCAGAAAATACATGGGGGAGTGCAGATGAGCATCCAAGGTTACAGTGAGCACAATAACAAAGTTTCCCATCATGCTTGCAAAGTAAAACAACAAAGAAAAGACAAAAAGGAGAAGCTGAATGTCCCATGAATTGGTGAGTCCCAGGAACACAAATTCTGATACTATGGATCGATTCTTTACATCCATTGCTTCAGACACCAGCCTAAGTTTTCAAGTTACCTAAAGGCAGAAAAAAAATGGAAATGAATTACATAGGTAAGTATTACCTATTTGTGTTTGGAAAAAAAAAAAGACTCCAGCAAGCTAGCCCTGTGTCTTAGTGGTTGGAGAAGACAGATCTCACATGATCAACCACGTGGTCAAATTCCAGACCTGGCAACTTGAAAAATATGCTTCACTGTGTATGCAAATGCCTCAAATTCTTAAAAGATAGAGAAATAAAAGAAAGAATTGTGACATGACCACATCTCATTGAGAGGTGCTTTCTTCCTCTTCCTTTCTCTCTGTCTCTCTGTCTTTCTCTGGCAAGTACACACACCCTCTGGAAAATTTTTAAAGATAGTAAAGATAAAAGACTCCAGACATTAATTGACATCTCACATAGTCAAATAACCTTTATCACATACACACTGGACTTCCATTTAAAGGGATCAGCTGGCTCCCATATGGCATTATGGCTTTAAAATTACCACTACAAAGTTAATGTTATATCCAGACCTACTTCTTCTTTTCTTTCTTCTAGTTTTATAAAGATACTTTCTATTTTCTCCTTCCCAGGATATTCTACTTGGATGGCAAATGAATTTTCTGACTGTGATATCTCAGTAACGGAAGTGATTTCAGTCATTCTTATGAGTCATCTAACCATTTCTCATGCAATAGCATGCAGCTTTGGAAACCTCTGATCTGTTATTTTTGTTGTTCGATTAGACTTTAAAAGGTTCCTTTTTTCTTTAACTTTCAAATTTTCTCTTACTCTCTTCTTCAGCTCACAAAATCTAATTCTCAAGGTCCCACCTAAATGCTTCCACATTCTTAAAATCTTCCCATTTTGCCTGACTATCTATACTCAGACTTCAGGGTTAACATGAATTTGATTCTGCCTTTCATGGTTATTTAAATTAATATCCCTCCAACTAGGTATAGTTTCTCAGATACAGGAATTATACACGGATAGTCACTGCCACAATCATAATGACCAGTAGTAACTAATACAATCAGCCACATAGTAAGAGCTTCACACTTGCTGAATGAAGGAAGGGACTTAAGGAACTGAAGAATGGCACTGAAGTCAAGAGAGTGTATCATAATTCACTAAAGTTCATATTAATAGTATGATTATATTGTTTCATTTGAAAAGTCATGACCTATGTTTCTACGTAAAAATGCGTCACAACTTTTCCGACATTAATATGTCTCTAACAGGAATACACACACTCATTGGATCCCCAAAGACAAGATAGGAACTCTTCTACCTAAAGACAGTCTTTTTTTTTTAATAAATTTGGAATTGAGACAAGAGCAACAAAAATAAAGTATTGGGTTCAAGGAACTAGATCATGTCTGTATCTGCTGGGGAGAGAATATGATTGAGTTGAGATAAAATCCAGAAAAGGAACTAAAGAATGGTAGCCAAATCCTAGCATGGGGAGGTAGGACAATATCACAATTCTTTCCTTTTTTTTTGTTTGTTTCCTTTTTTTTTTTTTCTTCATTATAAGCTTCATAAAGAAGCCTTTTTTTTTTTCTTTTTTTCTTTTTTTTTTTTTTGGAGAGGTTTTTTCACTATAGGGTGCATGCGCTCGCCAGATACATGGAGAGAGACAGAGAAGCAAAAAGCGAGAAATCACCCCCCGGGGGGATGGTCACACCGCAATCCCTTCTCCTCCATTCTCCTCTCGGGATCTTGGGCATGCACGCACACACGCCCGGCGTGAGTTTTAAGCCACTGGGTCCGGGATGCGAACCATGGTCGACCACATGGGAGTCCAGCGACATAGCCATTACGCTAACTGCTGGTTCCCAATTCTTTATGGATAAAGACTGATAGCCAGAGACAAATCATCAGAAGTCCTCTGTTTAAGGAGGTGTTCCTGGTTTAATTCAATATCTATGTTTTATGAGGGAAATAATTATACAGGAAGTGACCTGCTCAATACAGGTGAGAGAATTTATACAAAACCAAGAACCCCAGATTCTCATTGAAAGTGCTTTACAGTAAATAACTTTTCTATTGATTTTCCATTGCTGCTATAAATTACCATAAACTTAGTGGCTTAAAACACACACATGTAACTATTATCTTTCTATTCTGAAGGTGAGACGGCAATAATGAAGTGAAATGAATTTAAAGTAAAAATGTCAGCCATGCTGAATTCTTTCTGGAGTCCCTGGGAGATAATCTGTTTCCTTACCTTTTCCTGCTTCTAGAGGCTATGTCCAATCTTTGGTTGATGGCCCCCTCCTTAAAGTGCATCACTCCATCCTCTGCCTCTGTCATCAGATATCCCTAACTCTGATACTCCTTCCTTCCTGAGGTAGACAAACACTACACTGGGCTAGCTCACATGACCCAAGATATTTTTAGCATCTCAATGTTTTTCACTTAACAATATCTGCAAAGCCCCTTTAGTCATAAAAGGTAGCATATTCACAGATGTGGGGATAGAACACGGACATCTTGAGAAGTCATATTCCATATACTACAGCTTTCTTGCTGTGAACAAGTGTTTTAGGAGGAAATGAAAAATCTTTAAGCATTGAATCTTACAGAGAGAACTTCAGGTAGCATGCAGGAAAGTGGAAGCAATATTGAGTTATGAGAGACTGAGGTACAGTGCATCCTAACTTTTGTACTTTATTACACAAAAGTGACTTCTAATTCCAGTTACATGTAGGACCAAGCCTTAACAACTGATGTCCATTAATGACAAGGAATCAATTAATAAGTTAATATATTCTTTGAAAATTAGTCATGACTGGTTATATAATTGATTTCTGAGTGGACTCTCTGAGTGATCTTGGTCTCCTTTTTTTTTTTTTTTTTTTTTTTTTTTTGGTGTAGGGTGCTTGCACTTGCAGGAGAGACAGAGACAGAGAAACAGAAAGTGAGAAATTACTCCATGAGGGGATGGCCACACTGCAATCCCTCCTCCATTCTCCTCAGCATTTGAGGCAGGCACATGCACCCAACATGAGGTTTTGTTTTATTTTGTTCTGTTTCTTAAAAAAGATTTTGTTGAAGGGAGTGTGCACTTGCAGGAGAGATAGACAGAAAGCAAGAAATCACCCCCTAGAGGAGATGGCCACACGGCAATCCCTTCTCCTCCATTCTTCTCTCAGGATCTTGGGCACGCACACACATGCACCTGGGGTGAGTTTTAAGCTGCCAGTTCAGAATTCTAATGGAAGTCGACTATGTGGGAATCCAGTGACATAACCATTATGCCATCTGTGGTCCTGATCTTTGGTTTCTAATTCAATAAATATTTTAAGTGCCCAGATGGCAGATGGCATTCTAAAGGTTGGTGATAAAGCGAATTCTCATTTACACAGACAGAGCTCAAGCAGAGGGCAAGGTAGACATTTTTTTAAAAAGTTTGGGTAGTATTACCATTTTGATTGTATTAATTCTTCCAATCCAGGAACATAGAGTGTCCTTCCACTTTTTTGTGTATCTCATAGTTTCCCTTGTGGAGGTCTTCGACTTCTTGGTTAGATTTATTTCTAGGTATCTTATATGCTTTGTGGCTATGGTAAATGGGATTACTTTCTTCAGTTAGTCTCAGTCTTCTTGTTGTTCATATATGGAAATGCTATAGATTTTGGTATGTTGATTTTGTATCCTGTAACTTTACTGCATCCATTTATTACTTTCAGGAATATTTTGTGGATACCATTGGGTCTTTTATGTATAAAGTCATGTCCTTTGCAAATAGAGATAATTTCACCTCTTCTTTTCCTATTTGAATGCTTTTTTATTTTATTCTCTTTTTTTTATTACAGTGGCTAGGACTTCCAGCACTATATTAAAGGAGTGGAAAAAGTGGGCATCCTTTTCTTGTACCAGTTTTTAGAATGATGTTAGCTATGGGTAGTGGAAAACTCTGGGGAAATTCTGGCGGACATTAGGCTTGGCAAAGACTTCTTAAATAAGATAAGACCCCCCAAAGCACAGGTAATAATTCCAAAAATATACAAGTGGGGTTACGACAAATTAAGAAGTTTTTGCATGGCAAAAGTCACAGTAATTAGCGTGAATCAACAGACCTTAAAATGGGAGAATATTTTGTAAACTATGCCTCAGATAAGAGACTGATAACCAAAATACACAGGAAACTCAAGGAGCTGATCTGGAAAAAAGTAATGAACCCAATTTTAAAAATAGGAAAATAAGTGTGGGGGAGGGAGATAAAAACTCTCTAGGAAGACATGCAAACAGCCAAAAAGCATATGAAGAAATGCTCAACATAACTCATCATAAAGGAGATGCAGATCAAAACCACAATGAGATACCACCTAATCTCAGTCAGAATGACTAAGATTTTAAAAAAAAAGAGAGAGAGAGAGAGAGAAGTGCTGGTGGGGGTGTGGTGAAAGGGGAACTTTCCTACACTGCTGGTGGAAATGTAAATTGGTCCAACCACTGTGGAGAACAATATGGAGATTCCTCAAAGATCAACAAATAGAACTACCACATGATCCAGAAATCCTGGGTATCTACTGAAAGGACAGGAGAATGCTTAGTCGGAAAAGTGCTTGCACATCGATGTTTCTTGTGGCATTATTTACAATTGCTAAGACATAAAACCAACCAAATGTCCATGAACAGAAGAATGGATTGAAAAAAAATGTTGCACATAAATTCTATGGAATACTATTCAGCCATTAAAAAACAAACAAACAAACAAGACCCTGGCATTTGACAGCAAGTGGGCAAATATGGAAGATTTACTGCTGAGTGAAGGAAGCCAGGCTATGAAGGGAAGACATTGTATGTCTCTACTTAATATTTACTGACTGTACACACACCCTGTAGCAGAAACTGAAAGATTAGCAGATATAGAAACATGGAAAATGGTTATGGTTACTGGATATAGTGTGGAAAGAGGGTAGGAGAAGGAAGAGAGTCTTAGGAAAGACATTAAGGAGAAAAATAGAAAGGCAAGACATTTATGGGACACAGAAATGGATTA